CGCGATGCTTGAAGTTCAAGGTTAGTTAAAGGGCTTGGTCTACATCTGTAACAGAGTGGGCCAGATGGGACCATATCTCGTTGATAGTATTTTCTCATGATGATCGCTTACGAAGTTTTTATGGTCATTGATGTTTGAAGGCCCATGAAATAAAACGCCCCTTATGCCCTGAGCAACAAATGATCATGTCCTCGTGTAGTTATTATTGCCTAAAGCTATGGAGACTATTTCTTGAGAGGGGTGAGGGAGGCTATTTACATCAGAGCCCATCACCCTTCACTTAACCGTGACGGGGGCCGACATCGTCTACAAGATACCTTTGACCCAGTGTTCTTCTTCTTCTTCCATATTACGTGCTTAACCTCAATAAGCTGAGGACTCCAAGCACGGTACGTAGAAGACGTACACAAGACTATAATGTTTGATCCACTCACACCGGGAAGGTCACCTACTCTTTTCTATAAGTATGGCGGGTTCTTTAGCGTGCTCGAGGTGTGGCTCTCCCCAAACACGGGACCTCCATTTAACGTCCTATCCGAGGGACGTCCCTAACCGAAGCTAGGTACTCATTTACACCTGAGTGAAGTGAGGAAAGTCGTGTAAAGTGCCTTTCCCAAGGGCACAAGATCGGTGACATGGGTGGGGATCGAACTCGGGACCTCTAGGTCCTGAGCCGAACGCGCTACCGCTGCGCCACACGACCCCACGTGTTGGCGTCACATTTCAAGGAAGCCACGTGACAAGCCTTACTGGGTCAGTCTACTGAGGAAGACTGGAGTGACTGGTCGAAAGCTCTAGGTGAGCGAACTTTTTGTGTTGGATCTAAAGTTTGAAATCTAAACAGGTCGGTGAATGATTGAATTGGTGGATTTCATTTCTGGCTGTTTTCTTTGTGTTTCTAGTGCAGGGTGGCCGCTGTAAAATCCCAAAAGCGGAGGGTTCTGAGCGACAAATGGCCATGTCTTCATGTAGTTGTTACGGCCTAAACCTATGGAGTAACTTGGATTCACATTTCTCATGGTTCCTTTGTGTTCCTAGTGCAGGTGGCACAGTAGGTGTGATATCTCTGCGACACACGCCAACACTTGTCCCCTCTCTACACCTGCAAACGATAATCTTTACTCCACCGAAGTATCTTTTAACTCGTGCTGGCTTGTAGAAATGGCTATACCACACCCCATCATGTCCATCACTTGATTGTTCAGATACTCATATTGTGTCATCAAAGAATCGTCAGCTCAGCATCTTGAACAGACACTTGTCCCCTCTCCACACCTGCAAACGATAATCTTTACTCCATTGAAGTGTCTGAAACTCATACCGGCTTGTGGAAATGGTTATGTATTATGTACCACGCTGCATCAGTGGTTATACCACAGACCATCGTGTCCATCACTCGATTGTTCAGATTACGCACACGGTGTCATCAAAGAATCGTTACTCTCCTGTGTTTTGGACAAGTGGACAGGTAAGCCTGCTGAAAGGGTTCATTTTGGTCATTCGAGTACCCATAACGCTATCCAAAAGCCGAACTTTCTGGGACTGGAGTTATATAAAAATACTATTTGTGCTTTATGGTAGAAATACTTCTGGCAAATGTGTCATTAATATGGTAGGAGGCGGTAAGAAGTGTGTAACAGAAGTTTTACCAGTTCTGTTGAATGGTATACAAATGTGAACTTGATCTTGAATGACAGGAAAGACAGACAATATGTCTGTCTTGATAGGTTCATCATACAAACTAGCCTCTACCAGGCTTCGGGAGGCGGCTGGAAAGAGTGGAAAGTGGCCAAATAGACAGATAGACAACATGCCAGGGGAGTTGGTCCGATAAAGAGTGTAGTTTGACGCTATCGAGCGAGGTAGAGGCTACCTCCAAAGGGTGTGAGTGAAAAGTACCAAAAGAAAAGAAGACGAAACTACTGTCATTGTACAAAGAAAAAGTTGGCGGACGGACACTGAACTCAGACTATTGAACTCTTACAAGATTAAGCTAAGACCTCGTGGTGGACGATAGTTGCACTTCTGTTGGCTTTCCGACAAGATCCTTGCCCGTAGCACCGCTAAAAGATGTTAAAAGTTGCATCTCACTAGATTCTCAGATCTGACCAACAAAGCTATCTCGGCGATTCACGCAGGAGCGGCTTCCCTTCACAGCTTTGACAACTGTCTGCAAATCAATATTTCATTAAGCCACTCATCTGTCTAGAAAGCTAACCAGGCTGACACTCAGGCTGTCATCTGTCGGCCCCTTTTCTCACTCGTCTCCAATCGTTCCGACATGATTTGCCAGGATTACCCTCCAAGCTTCGGCTTAATTTTGACGTCTTTTATATATTTCAAGATAGCTTTAAACAATGTTTAGAGTTAGATGTTCAAGGGTTAGGTGTAACAGGTTGTTCGGTGTGATGTAGCCAGCTGCCGCCGCGCCGCGTGCCTGAGAAGCTGGTGTGTTACACCGAAGGGCGGTTATATCGGCTATACCGATACAGATACTGTCTTGCCTGTTTGATACTGTCTTGCAAATTTGATAATGCCTTTGTAGTCACCAAAAGATCTGCTTGAAGATGGAGGGGATTATCCCTCTTCCTGCGTGGTACTTGATTGTTTCATGCAGGATGGAGGGCTGGATTTCTGCACCGTGACTTCTGACTCTGTGGTGTTTTATTTACTGCTGACGATGTTCTTTCATGTACCTAGAAGATTCTATCGTTTACGCCCATCATGCATAGATGCACGCATGTACTTGTAAACCCTACTTCTAAAACAAAACTATACAGGCAAAGTTATGGGGAATACAACGTTGCCTTGAAGTTGTTTGCGACTAACGGAATCTGAAGTTGAACAGCTATTAGTAAAAAACTATGAATTGATAACTCCAAGAATTGTCTCAATGTCTAAAATTGTCTTAATCTCATTTACATATCAACTCATAGTTTTTTAATGAAATACCTGTTCACCTGTAGAAATTCTGTTACGAAAGGCAATGGATACTACTTGATACGTCTGACAGTTTTCAAAATCTACCCAGTTGCTTGAGTAACATTTTCCTTGTGTAGATATCCTAGGTAACCACTTCTGATTGCTAGACTATACTTTGTTGTTGTTGTCTTATTTAACGTCTAATATATCACTAGACGTGGTCTCTTGGTGCTGGTTTGTGCTTGGTTCAGTTCAGAGTTAATTGTCTCTCTGGATATTTAAGTTAACACTTAGTAACTATACTAATAATAAAAGCACGGTGCTGCCCTCTAGCGAGGCAGGCTAATGTTGAAGCTAAATAAAGCTTCTACTGTAGTCATGTTCTCCCATGTGGTCTAGTGGTTAGGATTTGTGGCTTTCACCCACAAGGCCCGGGTTCGATTCCCGGCATGGGAAGCCTATATTTTTATTAATTTCATTTTCATTTTATTTATTTTACGAGCACATGTAGTTCACACTCAGGTGAACGTTGGCTTTCTTCAGCATTCCATTTTATTTATTTTACTAGCACATGTAGTTCACATTCAGGTGAACGTTGGCTTTCTTCAGCATTCAGTATTATACATGTACAATAATACATACCCTGAAACCGGCCTAAAACTGCCTCTAGATACGCCCCCGAACAGTTACTCAAGCCTCTAGATCTTGTGGATCCTTCTGGTCTATTAAGTAGAGGAGATTAGTACAATGTACTAGTATATAGGACCGGTGAACTAAATAGACGATTAAAAGAAGTTCACAGAGAACAATCTATGAGGTGAATTTTCGTCTGATGACTGCTGAATAACAAACTCGTTGAAAAATCTTAGATTGTATTCCGTAGTTAGAAAACAGTCACTTCTCACCATTGTCTGTATATTCTTTCTACACATAATTTGTTTCATGTTACAATTAGGGCCAATTAGCCCTCTGGCAAATAAAAACAAACTTATGTAACTCAATGATTGCCTTATGCAATTCGCAAGCGACGCCTTGCGGTTCTGACTCGTAGTGCACCATAAATCTTACCTCGACATCCGGTTCTATATTGATTTTTACTTTTCTGCAAAGCGGCCGCCTAAATAACATCAAACGTTGAATTCCAGTTACTTCATAGCACTTTGGGTGATTTTAAACTGATGTTTCATAAGAAATTATCATTATTGGGTTCGTTCCTTTCTGCACACTGGACGCTACATTCCCGGGAAATTCCGACCCACGGTTTGGATCGGGCCTGAGGGCTCTTCCCAAGAAGGAATTGGGCATTCGGCGTTCCAGAGATTGTAGCGAGCTAGTTTCATAACCGGTCGTGCATGCATTTACATCACCAACCTCCCATGTGGTCTAGTGGTTAGGATTTGTGGCTTTCACCCACAAGGCCCGGGTTCGATTCCCGGCATGGGAAACGAGATTATTTTGTTTTTAGGACGGGGCAGGGTTCTTGGCTTTAAGAACGGACACGCACGCGCTTGTACAGGTGTATCAGTACCTTTATAATTACTATAAACAATTATTATAAATAATCAATTAAGAATATTTACAATAATATGTATATAATTATAAACGCACATTAAACAAAACATTTACCAATCATTTACCAATTATATTTAATATACATTTCAGTAAGGACGTTCTGATAGAACCTAAACAAAAATCTGATAGGCATTTAGCTCTACTTTGATGTTAGGCCATGTTGATTTGATTATATTATGGATGACATCCTCTGGGAACCCCAAAACTGATGCGCGCGTGCGAATAAAAAAAAAGTTTTGCAAAAAAAAAAGTTAGCTTTCATTATGAAATCTACGTGGTCATGAAGGTTGAACAAAGGGCACAGAGTATCGTTTGGCGAATAATCTACTCTTCAAATCCATTTCTTTACATTTTCGTCTTTTTTTGTTTGATTTTGGCATTCTACGACATTGGTATCGTTTTCAAATATTTTTTTGCAACTTACGGTATAAATTTGTTCATTTTGCAACTGTTTTGTATGATTTACAGTATGGTTGAAAACTTTTTTTTTTTTGGAAACGGCCGAAAATTCATGCGCGCGCAGATGTCATCCATATAATCAAATCAACATGGCCTTACATTAAAAAAATGAATTTCTTCACTGTTTCAATATATTGAGAATTTAAGTTGTTAGCTTCAAGAATTTGATGTATGTACAATGTATCAGAAAAAGAAATTCTTTGCACAGATCACATATATTCTATCTTGGATATATAACTTTCGTGTTGATTTTTCACAAGTCAGTAAGGAACAGCAGAACTACATGTACAATCTGTCATTTCTTAAATCTAACATCCAGGCAGTGCACCATCACTTACTTAATTAAGGCCAATAAAAAAATTGTCTCACAGACAAAATAAAGATTTCAACATGTCATCATATGACAAAATCATACTGAATTTACATATTATGTACAGGAGCTAGACTTGTATCAGGAGTTAGCTGGACAAGGCACAGGTCTATCATATAAATGGGCCCCAACAGTCAAATCTATGCGCTACATGTAAGTTACATGTACCATCAGTTTATCAGTTTACTTGAAACAATGTTTTCTATAACTACACCAATTTTATTTACTTATCCTAAACTGCTGCCCGTATGGAACCATAAAGCAAAAAAAAAAAAAAACAATAAAAAAAACATCACACACTTGCCAAGCACTATATCATGTTTATAGGTTTTTTAATTTAAAAAAAAAGGAATATTCTCCTAAGGCCCTCACTTCCTGGAGTCAGATCAACATGATGTTAACAAAGTCGTTAAAAGGAATTTACTATAGTCTCCACAATAACACTGCGGAAACATCACTTTTTAAATTAATATTTTGAACGACATTAAAGACTTCAATTTCACCAGCTTCAACTTGAGGAACTCTTTTAGCAGTTTGGCAATGGCCCGTCTGGTTGCAACTTGCAAGGCTCATCATAACCATCTAAGAGGAAGAGCACACAGGATCTAGGATCACTCTTATACTGTACTTATACAAGTGCATCATCAACATCTTCAGTTGTTTTGACATCATGCTGTTCCAGTATTGTCTCACCTCCCAGTGTCCATATGTTCTGAAGCGTTATCTTTCCCATCCTGGCTTCACCCTCAATCAGAATGCACCTTGGTGCCGTGGACATATTGACAGTCCTGTGACACCTTGGTCGAACAAGTTGTCTGAGGAATTTGATGTCATTCTTTTTCACTCTGGTGTACTGTCTGTGAGCAGCTTCAGAAGGCAGTACAAGCGAGCGTCAAAAGCTTCATAATCCGAATCATTTCAGCAGAAGTAAGATAAAGCCATTGGAGATTTAGCCATCGAAATGCAGCAGATAGCCTTCCAGAGTTAGCCTATTTCAAATTGTGATGGAGAGTACGCCCCAAAACCCCACCAGAGACCTTGTGTCTTTGGCACTGAACATTGAACTTAATTATGTCAATCTGAAAGGACAAAGATAAATGTAATAATATCTTTTTAGAAAGAATGACTCTAAATTTGTACAACATTATAAACAAACAACGAATCATCCAATATAACTACAATATACAGAACAACAGAAATTTTACAATACTAGACATTATAAATGAATGAATGAATGAATGAATGAATGAATGAATGAATGAATGAATGAATGAATGAATGAATGAATGAATGAATGAATGATTTTTTAAAAGTACTCTACAACATAATTTAAGCAACCAATACTGAACGAAAAGCATTTGTTCGTATAAAAGCTGGAGAGAGAGCCCTGGCCTTACGCATCTCTAAACAGTTTCCAGCAGGTGTGTTGTTAGTGACAGTTCCTGCACTCTGGGTGGCACTTCTGTCCCCCCACCCTGCACCGGCAGCCTCCACTGATGTCTCCTGGACCCTGGGGAAAGGCACAAACACCATTATCATCATCATCTGTACTAACTACAGTCCACTCACAGACTGTTCACTTGTATGTGGACAAAACCTAACCAAACAAAATCATTGCAATCTAATTCCTTCTATAATTCCGTCATTCATTTCGAGAAAAATGAGGTAGCAAGTTAATTGGTGATTAAGATTGTTGTTGGTGAGTATTAAAGACTGCTGTCATACATGTACCGTGAGTCATGTAGAGTCATGTAAATGTTCTACCGGAGTAGTTTTAAATCCCCAGTAGGCAGCAGTCTTGTGTCCTTACAATGGTAGAGACACTTTACAGCAGCTGCTGTTTCCTCACTTGTCTCAGGTGAAAACATGACATGAAGCTAGAGGTCCCGTATTTGAGGAGATCCCACCACACTTAATGAAAAGAGAAGGGATCCTTCCTGATGTGAGTTACAGTCTGGTCTTGTACCTTGTACCTAACGGTACTGTACAAAACTGGTGTGTTATGCTTGAAGGCAGTTTACTAGTGTTGCGAAACAAACAAAAGAAAAACCCACCCCTGGCCCCCATCTCCTGGCCTTGGTGACCCAGCAGATTTCTGTCCGGCACATCGAGCAGCGTATCCAATCACAGCCTTCCTTCTTCTGCACGATGATGTCACACTGTGGGCAGTGCATCGCCTCCCCCTGCTGAACCATGTTCTGTATGGCAGGAAAAAGAAAAATGAGAAAAATGAAAATATTTTCTTTACATGTTTGATCTGGACAATACTGTTAAACACAATTTTTCCATGGTACAAAAATGTACTTTTATATTCACGGTTTTCACCGTCATTTCTGTATGGCAAAATCATCATTATCGTGAACGAATAATTCGCAGACTTTCTTTATGGTGCACCTTCTGCCGCCGCGAACATATAGTTCTGCGAACATGCCCATTTTTCTCAGACTGCAAACTTTTGCTACCACGAACATAATGTGTTTTTACAGTATCAACACATTTTTCAATAAGGCATATAAAAAATCAAATCAAACCTCACCTCGAGCATGGCCATGGTCTGCTGCGCGGCCTCGTCGTTGTCTGCCCTCCTGCGCAGGTCGTCCTGGTACTCCCGGCACGTCATGTTGTCGTGGATTGCCTTGCACGTCAGGCAGTTACGCCGACCGCACACCGGGCAGAAGAAGTCGTTACTCAGGTCCTCGTAGAAGCAGAACCTGATTCCCAAAAATGGTTTCATCATTAAAAAAATGAGCTTAGGTTTGCTGGCTCGTTCTGTCGTAACGCCCTCTTTTAGTTAGGGTTAGAGTAACTGGAAATCCCAGGAAGCAAAAGTTTGGACAGGTTGGTAAAGTGTAGGATGTGAGGGTTTTCTTCTACACACCCAATTATTCGTACCTTGCTGACGTTTCGGTGTCTATCAGACACCTTCTTCAGAGCTTCTGACTGGAGTTCTGCTTCTCAACAATATGTTTGAGATTGCGTTATACATACTTGTATAGCGGCAAGAAGCAGAACTCCAGTCAGAAGCTCTGAGGAAGGTGTCAGACATCAAAACGTCAGAGATGTATGTGCAAATAAAAATAAACAAACAAAAACAAACAAACCCTCGGCAGTCGGCCGTCTTGCAGTGGAAGGCGTCGCGCGCCTGCCCCTCAGCTATGGCCAGACCCCTCTCCTGATATCGCTGGTACTCATCAGGACTTAGCAGCTGGGGAAGACCAAACAATCTCAAGTTTCAAGTTTATTCATTTACTGGACATGAACACAAAAACACTAGGACTCATTTGCATTTGACTGTTGTACACAGGAATAGTGTAATTGAGGAAAGAGTTATACAGTCTGTTGATCCGAGCTTTGGGGTGGTCATTTCATCATTTCATCAGTCACTGCCTCCAATGAAAAAGTCCCCCCTTATTCTGTAACGTATGTGTGTTCCCTTGCAATTAGCCATAGCAAATTAAGAGGGAACTTACCGCCCTGATCTCCCTGTCCTGTAGCATGGCGGGGCAGGAGTAATCATCGTCAACAAACGGACACTTCACATCCGCCTCTTCACATGAGACTATGTGCTGACGGAGGCACTCTCTGTGGGACATACAGTAACATATGTTATAACATACGAACACATGCACACACACATGCACACACACACGCGCATGCACAACACACACACTCACACACACACACACATGCACACGCACACACACACACTCCAGCCCTCGCACTAGACTATGAGATGCCAAAATCATACATGTATGTAACACAAGACACAAAGTCACACACACACACACACACACACACTCACAAACGCACACACACATATGCACACATGCACACACACTCACACTACCACACACACACTCACACACACACACTCACACACACACTACCACACACACACACTCACACACACACACACACACACACACACACACACACACACACACACACACACACACACACACACACACACACACACACACACACACACACACACACACACAACCTGCAGAAGGAGTGTAGACAGTCCCTCAGCACCACACCCTCCCCCGGCTCTACATCCATGCGCACATGCACACGCGCGCACACACACACACACACACACACACACACATGCACACACACACACACATTGACACACACACTCACACACACACGTGCACACAAACACACACACACAAACACACACATTCACATACACACACACACACACACACACCTGCAGAAGGAGTGTAGACAGTCCCTCAGCACCACGCCCTCCCCAGGCTCCACATCCATGAAGCAGATCGCACACTCAAACTCCAGCGTGTTCGGCACCAGGAACTGCTGCTCTGCCATCAGCAACTCTTGAAGGTTGGCTTCTCTCCGACGCAGCTCAGCCTGAATATAAACAGGCCCACTTACAATAAAAACGTAAAAACTAAATAAAAAAGTAAAAACTCGAACTTTTGGGGCACCAGGAACTGTTGTTCTGCCAACTCCTGAAGATTGGCTTCTCTTCAATGCAGTTCAGCCTAGAGATTAATATATTGTAATTATGATTTTCTTCATCAATCTTTATCATGGTTACAATGGTAGGGTAACCATGCACCAGGAACTGCTGCTCTGCCATCATCAACTCCTGAAGGTTGGCTTCTCTTCGTCGCAGCTCAGCCTAGAGATAAACAGGAAATACTTACAATAAAAATTCCAGAACCCTAAAACTATGAAAGTCAAATGTGCTGAGCACCAGGAACTGTTGTTCTGCCATCATCAGCTCCTGTAGGTTGGCTTCTCTTCGTCGCAGCTCAGCCTAGAGATAAACAGGAAATACTTACGATAAAAAGCCCAAAAAAAAGGGTAGAACCCTAAAACTATAAAAATCAAACTCCGGCGTGTTCGGAACCAGGAACTGTTGTTCTGCCATCATCAACTCTTGAAGGTTGGCTTCCCTCCGACGCAGCTCAGTCTAATGGTAATAATTTTCTTTATCACGTGTACCATGTAACAAACGTGCATATGACAAAAAAACGTACATTGGCCAAGTGGGTAGAGTGCTCGCCTTGCATTCGTTAGGTCTTGAGTTCGATCCCCGGCCGAGTCATACCAAAGACTTTAAAAAATGCTTTCTCTACTTAGCATTTGAGAAAACGCACACCACTACCAGTGGACTAGCCCCCTGCTGTGAGGTAACCATGCACCAAGAACTCCTGCTCTTGATGGCATGCAGAGTTGGTGCATCTCCTTTCTTGTTTCGTTGTTCCGAGCCTTTGTACTGGTAGTACCAACTTAGAAATGTGTATCATAGGGGATTTCACAAACAACAAATGTTACTTTGAATGTTTTATTGTAATAATCTTGCAGCATAGTATCTTTTTGCAACAGTGCTTCACTAGAATACTGTTTATTACAATAAAAATAGACTGGTCGCATTCTTTCATTAATGAAAGAAAAAACTGAAAATTATGGAAATCCAGACTGACCACAAGTTTAAGAATCTACGTGGAACAGGAGTGAAAGAATGTTAATATATAACATACATGCATTCACCATTTTGGCTAGATATCAGTATGTACTACTTACTATGTAATGTTCCACCAAGTATAAATCATACAGTCATTTCATGGAATGGTGTCATTGCAAATGCTGGCTAATGTTTGCTATTGCGTACAAAATTTGGCTACCTGTTTGGCTCTTCAAGCATGAAGCTGTTGCATTTAGTGCATGGTGGCAATTTTTCGGATGCAGTTTTACTTGACTGTGAAATATGATCACATGTTCTCTACTAAGCTATGAACTTTCATTTTGGTCCACTTTATCATATGCGATTGCTGGTGCGTTATGCCGAAGGGCGGTCATACCAGCTATACAGATACAGATGCAACAAGAGGAACTCGGTACTAGTGGTCTTCCACCGAAACCCTTTTAAGGGATGCCTGTTTTCATGTACAGTCAGTGCCTGAGTGAATTTTCATCAGGTTCTCATCCTGAAGTCTTTGATTGTCTTCCTTCTACAAACTCTAATCTTAATCTGTTCATCAGATGTGAGTTCTATACGAGGCTGCCTGTTTTTGTGTACAGTCACTGCCTGGCAGTGGGTGAATTTTCACCAGATGGTTCTAGTCCTGAATCCTTCGTTCTTCTCCCAACTACAACTCTCATCTTTGCCAGGTTCATTGTAACAGAGTTCTACACTAAGTTGTCCTTTTTTGCGTACTTCGTGAATTTCCGCCAGATGATTCTGAATCCTTCATTCTTGTCCAAACTACAAACTTTCTTCATCTTCATCTGGTTCATCGTAAGCGAGTACTACAGGCACTCGGGGCTGCCCATTGTTGGTGGGGTGTAGCCTGGCAGTCGGGCCATGCTGCCCATTGTTGGTGGGGTGTAGCCTGGCAGTCGGACCCTGCTGCTCTTCCTGCCCCCACTGTAAACTGTCCTCTCCACCCAATGCCTCCTGTATGGGGGGAGATAACAGGTTACTGTGGGGGCAAGGAGCCTCAGGGGCCTGACAACCAGGCTACTTACAACAGGGTACAATTTGGATTTTCAACAAGGCTGTTACAAAACCAGCCACTGACAATGATCCAAGAAAGAATTTATTGTAAGAACAAGACTGTTGTATTTTGTATGACTATCCCAAAAATGCTCTCAGTTTGCAATCATACGATGACTGTACAATGAATGTGGCTAGGCCCTAAATCACTTTAATATCACTTCAAGCAACTTTGCATTTGTGGACAACTATCCCATCCCACCAGAGCAATGATAACTTGCTGCTCGATGTGGCAGCATAGGCACAGAATGTACTGGACCTGCTGGATGTTTGGTCAATGTTGCATCTGACTTTTGTCCGTTGTATATCTTTTCTCACTCAACATATATGAAAACTACATTCTGTAGAAGTGCCATACATATGTATGTTACAATCTGGATATTGCACAAGTGCAGTACGTTCGGATGTGCTGGTCTAAGGTACATGTAAGTCTCTCCCACCCACCCATCACTTATCAAACATCTCCCACCCACCTAAGTATACCCTCAAATTGTAAAATGATACAATGACTGTATGATGTATTTTAGTAGGCCCTAAGTCACTACATTGTACATCATGACTTAGTAAATGTCTTAAGTTTTGTGTTTATCCCACCCACCTGTTGGGCATAGCAGGAACTACCTGTATGTACTAACAGAATATACTGCACCTGCGCGAAACCAGAGTTTCTGCTGGATGTTTGGTCAATGTTGTATCAGAATTTTGTCTGTGTATATCTTTTCCAACATAACATATGAAAGACTGTAAACGATACATTCTGTAGAACTTGAAGTGCTATGCATGTTATGATCTGGATTTTGCACAGACGCAGTACATTCTGCCAACGTGCTGATCTAAGGTAAGTCTCTGCCACCCACCTGTTGGTACATCTCCTCGGCCTGCTGCTCCTTCCGAAGTCGTTCCCTCTCCTCCTGGTCTGGGACGTAGTTCTCCGGGACTCGGTAGTCCTCTGGCCTCGGGGTGCCGCAAATCTCACACCCGGGTCGCGTGGGCTGGTTCACGTACGTACACGCAGGGCAGGACCAACCAACCGCCTGGAATAGGGAGGGACAGCCTGGTTAATATATACTTTCACAATGGTTTTACTTTGCTAGTTCTCCGGGATGCGGTAGTCCTCGGGTCTCGGGGTGCCGCAGAGATCTCGCACCCCGGCCGCGTGGGCTGGTTCACGTACGTACACGCTGGGCAGGACCAACCTACTGCCTGTAGTTGGGGGGAACAGCCTGGTTAATTTATTATCATCTAAACTAAACTAAATGAGTGGACACATCAAACAGCAAACCAGATGGCCAGACTGGCAGAAGATTGTCAGCAGTGGAAAACCTTTGCCATACATGTACATTATGCTGCCCCGTCAGTTGACTAAGCTATGGGAGAGAGTGAAGAGTGAAGTGAAACTAGAAAGGCAACATTTGCATAACGTTTACCTTCACATGGTCTAGCACCACAAACTACTGCTCTATGAGTTCTTGTATGGTACCATATATGGTAACCAGCCTCTCCAACTTGCTACATAATGTAACCCAACACCACAGGGTGTCTGCTGCAGCACCAGTAAAGTGACAGCCATCTGGTCCAGGTCATCGAAATTGATTGAGTGAAATAAATGGGCTCAGTCCGGATATAATTTTTTATATGTACAGTTGTCATGTCAACATTTGTCCAAAAGTCATATAATTTTTCTTACCTGTACAGCAGGAGAAGCCCTAGCTGCAGCCTGCTGCTGATGTTGTAATGAAGCTGCTGCAGCCCCTTGCAGCAGGACATGTTCTTGTTGTTGTTGTTGTTGTTGTTGTGCAGGCCTCTGTGGATCCAACACTGCGTTCACAACCGCCTGTGTGTCTGCCAGGCCCATCCTGGGCGGGGCTGGTGTTGCTGGGGCAACTGTGACCGGGGTAACTGGCGTCCGAGGGGGAATGCTGGCTGGGCCTTCTAGTAGGGCAAAATATTCAACAGTGTAAGATGTATCAGCATCACGTTAAAAAATTCCAATTTCTCTTATACAGTATATACCTCTCAACATATCAATTCTATTGAATTTTCAATCCATTGAATTTCCATGAGATACTGTAGGTATTCTCCCAAAAGTGTTATCTTGCCACAGACTTTCTGCAACCTATGATCCACTGCTCACCAAGTCATGCGTGTCATCTGATCATGAAGTGGTGGACTGTTAATTCCTTGACAAAGTGGACTTGTACAGTCGAAAATTTTGGTAAGTCCAATTTATTTTGTTGGAAATGGCAGTTCAAACTTGTTTCATAATTCCTCTAAAAGTGTTTAGCTCAAAGGTTTACTTGACCTAAGAATGTGTTCTGTATGTATTTACATTAGTTTTTGTTTCTGTACTGTCTATCTATGGGCCAGTGGATGCCTGAAACAAATAAATAATAAGAATAATATAAAAATCACAGGCTAAGAATGTAAACAGGTTTTACCGAGTGGTGGTTGCAGAGCTGCCCCTCCCACGGCCCCCTGGGTAACCTCCCCTCCGACTGCCCCCTCAAGCGGCTCCAGATAATTCCGCTGCACCTGTGCTGACATCGCGGTCAGCAGGTACAGGTACGCCGTGTGTCCTGACCCCTTAATGCCACACCTGGCCAGGGTCCACTCATCCTGACACAGTCTTTTCTGAATCACCCACCGCTGAACAGGGATGGGGAACTTCAACCTTTCCTGGACCTGCAGCGGGAAATGGATGTGAACAAATTGGGCTGATTTCCAAGAGAGCATGGGGACTAAATTTGAAACTTTCACATAATCAAGAAGATCAGACTCTGTATACTGCCAATGTACAATGTACATACAAGTTTATTCTACAGGAATTTTGTTATTGTTTCATTTTGATACCAATAAAACCAGGATCAGGTAGTAGGAAGGACCCTCACCATCCTTTTGAGTGTGTAAATGGTTGTAGAAGGGTGAACGTCCAGCATGTACTGTCCCCCACACATGTCCTTGTCTTCTATGGAAACTCTCAACCTGTAGGACAAAGAAAGAAGGCAATATACATGACTTGTTTATACATTGTAATGGCATTCAATTCAGGTAATTTCTTATAGATCCGCTGCAAAAGAGATATTTATTTTAAGGTTTACATTGAGGTTAGGACATCTGCTGTGCTGTGCACATGTACCTTTGTACATCTAACTGTATTCAAGATTCAAGATTCAAGATGGATTTATTGGTTCTTCGCAGTTAAAAACAACTGAATTGTAAACCAATTTACAAAACATTGGCATATTAAAACTACAGGTATCAAGCATTTGTTTAAAGCTATCTAGTGATGATGCCCCTACTATTACTGTACTGTACTATACTAGTGGCAGAACTAGTGAGTTCCACTTTAGGATAGTTCTTGGCAAAAACAAGTGTTTGAACACCTCAATGCTCGGTTGATAACTCGAGGTGGCATGAGAGATTGAAGCATGTTTTGGGTTTTGCCAAGACTGACCCGATTTCAGGCTCTATTTGCCACCATGATGTGCAAGGGTAAGGGAGGGCAAACAGGTGTATCAACATGTTTACAGGTTGCACATCCAAGTTGTTTTTTTAAAGACTGACCTTATTTTTGGCCCAGTTTTGTTCCTAACAGCGACATCCAGGTTAGGTTTGAGGTTGGCGAGCTGAGAGGCCAGCTCCATGGCGAAGGACTTGTCTCCTACTTCTACTGCCTTCATCAGGGACACAGCAAGGGCCTCTGGGGAGGAAAACACACAAGGACACAGAGGTATGATCGGTTCTGAGAAAAATTACTATTTCGAATGATGCAAGTCACAAAACTAAGTCATGCAGTCCTGATTGAACGTATGGTGGAGAAAATATGCAGTTATGTTTCCATGTGTTTCAAAAAGAGAGATCTAGAAGAAAATGGTGTTCAAAGCTGTAGACATACGCTTTTGGTACTTAGTGCTAGAATGTAATGTTTCAGTATTCAATGTGTACTATGTTTAATATTCTCTACACCACATATGGTCACGTGCATTTACGATATCCTATCTAGGTAAGATGTGTAATTCAAAAATATTGCTACCATATCAGGTCATCCATAAGATCACAACTGTCTATTTATTTATTGAGACTGTCTGAGACAGAAAACTCACCTGCATCATCTACCTCAGGTGATCTGCCAGGTGTGGGCAGGGTTAAGGACTTTCCCTTTTCTGTTTCAACACAAACGGAAGAATATGTTGAATATATAGCTTGCAAGTATGATGATGATGATGTTTTTGAGCCCAGTCACTAATTAGATACCTACAGCTCCACCTGTGAGCAGTGACATAAATGCCTAACCTTGTCTTTTGTACAGGAATAATATGAGGATTAATGACAGAGACCAAACTCATCATTTATTTATTCAACACTATAATGAAATGTGGTTCGGAGTAACCAAGTTAATCAACACTACCCATAGCCTTTCTAAAAACTATAGATTCTGAAAAAATTAACCTACTATTTCATATTCTATCTGCTTCCTATAGTGATATCAAGTAGTTAGGTAGCAATATACATAGCAGGGCAACTTTCCACACCTGATATTGGAGTATTACATGTAACTTTAGCTCTAGCTTCTCTGTTGATGTTGATGTTGGAATTGGCAATTTAGAACACAAATGGCAATAAACTGTATGTAGAATGCAGAAACTTTAACTTCATATAACACATGTACAATATCTTCTTTGCATCACATGCATTCTAAGTAGAGAAGTTGAATTCTTAAAATTAGTGGGGCAAACAGTAGAACGCTTTAATGTAACACCTATCCACCCACCTGCCCAGGCCTGTTTGGTGTTTATTCTGTCCTTCTGTTGTGAAGCTGCTGCTGCACTGCCTCCTCCTGTAACATTTAATGCTCCCATTTATGTTTGGTCTGGCACAGTTATAATAGAAAAACCTATCTTCTACAGCTGTATATGCAGCACTGGCGTAGATGCCATCATACAACACACAGTGAAACGTAATATAGCCAAGGGCACAATAGAAGGTCAAAGTTCAGCTTTACACCTTAAGAGCAATGACAAAGGCCACGGGTGCAAAGTTCCCCTCCAGCTTAGGAAAGTCAAGAGACAATAAAGTTACACTAGTTGGGACAAGTTGACGTAGAAAATTAAGGGGGATAAGAGATCTTGCATTCTATTTGACACATGCGCTTAACACGTCAACACACTCAGGAAATGACAGTGTTGTGGCTTTTCCGGGGAGTCTGGGACTACTCCATTAACAAAACTTACGGAAGAAAAAGTTGGGAAACAGAAACCTTATACTAGTAATTACACTAGACCCTTTTTTGCCCAAATGGTACTGAAACTTAAATGTTAGCAAGGGTGAGTAACACCAATTTCTGTAGTTGTTTCTATGAGTAGTAGTAATTTTTATTATTGTCTATAGGTCTTCAAAACGAACCGCCCTTTGGTGTAACACACCAGCTTCTGTATCTGTATACATTTTGTAGCCAGTATAACCACCCTTCGGTGTAACAAACCACCTGTTCTGACTGTATAATGTACACACTTCCTACCTGCTCTCCTGATTTCGTGCAGTAAGTTAGAGATAACAGTGTGCATGATGCTGGAGTCTTTAGTGGACAGAAACTTTGCAGTATACATGGTTCCATCGTGGAAGGTGAGCTCGATAAGTGTGGGATCCTTCTTGTTGTAAGACAGGCCTTGTAAAGGCAGGCTAAATATCATCTGTACCAGGGAAAGATGGGAAGAAGAGGAAAAAAATTATGTTCAAAATCAGATTGTAACTAAAAGTTACAAAGTTTACAAAGCAAATGCAAATTCTGTTTACCTTACATGGTCTAGCCCAGCAAACTACTACTGCTCTGTTTAAATTACATTCATATATATGTATACGGTGACCTGAGCCTACTCTATCCAACTCTGTCCTGCCACTTGCTACATACTAAGTAATGTAACCCAACGTACACCACTGGGTCTGCTGCAGCACCAGTTATCATGATGACAGAGAAAAACTTATACATTTAACTTTATACATTTGCAACTTGAGGAAGTAATCACAAGAAAATAGTGATTGTAGTAATTGCAATTTGCTTTAAAACTCTCTTTGCTTAAAAGTTTAGAGACTTACGTCCATATATATAGGTATCCATTACTAACGAAAGTGAAAGCAACATAACTTCAATGCTCACCATGGCTTCTTACACTACAACAATCTCTTGGCAAACTTGAATTTTTTTGTGTTTTATCGTAAATCTTACATTGCCCATCTAGCCGAATCGCTCAAGTGATACCACCAAATGTTATACACACAGTGATGCTACAGCTACTGTAAGAGATGGCAAAAAAAAACAAAAAAACACCTGTGTGCTTACCTGTCCCCGTCCCCCTGATTTGTCCTCGCGTATAACCAGGTTAAACTGTCCACCCTGATCACGATAGATGCACAACTGACTCGTCGCGGCCTGGTCCTTGCCCGCACCGACAACATTCGTCCACTGCGAATCCGGCGAAGCATCTTTCTGGTACACCTGAGCACTAGCGTATGCCAGTAAAGTTCCCTGTGACATGGTTGGTTCTTCACAACTCAGGTGACTTGACTTGGGGAGGGGGGTCCAGTCCCACAAACAGAATGTCTCTTTGCAAAATGATACTCTTCTGTACTTTAAGTTCCAGTACACCACCACCAGGAATAGACTGTCCTTCCTGATCCTGTGCTGATCATGGTTTCCATTTCCTCATATGTGGACAGCTTAAGTGGAATCTGGGACTTCTTCTGCAAAACCTGGGACTTTCCAATAACGTCATAGCAGCCCGTTTTGTATGATGGGGATTCCCCTTTTAGCTAGTTCTTTCTGGCAGGTGCTGGTTTTCCCCTACAACTACAAGAAACAATGTTAAAGGTCAACTGCTAAAGGTTACAAACGGTTAAGCCAAATATTCTTTACATATTCCTCTTTTCATCTGAAATATGAGGGAAAGGATTACTTTCTGTGCAAAATCAACAGAGCGGCGTGGTTCACAGTGCATTTTATAGTCATAGGTCAGAGTTTGCATGGCATAGCCCCGCCTAGATGACATCATTAACTCGTGACGCAAGGGAAAACGTAGGCGTACACCATATTTTCTTATTCTCAAGGCTTCCAACAACACTCTCACTGATTTTTACGTGCGTCACGCCCCCATAACTTTCAAAAATCGCTCCAAAACTTCCCACCTGTAAAGAGAAAAGCACACCGGTCACTTTTTTAAAGCGTCGTCTGTTTATTTCCCACAATCCTCTCGGTGCACATGCGCAAAGCACCATGGGTACTGCCTAATCTACTGCGTTTGTTCACAAAGAAGGGCGCAATTTTTTTCTGCTCCGAGTTTTTCGTCCATTTTCGCAATTTTTGGCGGACCAGGGGCAGCATTTCCCACCCGGCAGTTTCCCAAGGACCTTGTTCGGCCATTCCGACTGTCTGGATCCGTCTGGACGGTCAATAGGTGCAATTTTGGCGAGGTTTTTTGGAGCGGGCGTTATGTTCATGGCGGCTGATCTGCAAGCTTCTGACAGCTCACAGGACGTTTGTTCGATGTTTTCGTCGTCCGTTTGCAGAATAGCCACGCGAATAAGCCTCAAGGAGACGCGACATAAAGGACAGAGAGCCCTGCCGAGCAGTTTTAGCGGGAAGAACTTCAGCAGTTGCGAGCCGTGTTCGAGTAACCGCTCGTTTTAAGCTCAGAAAACAGGAAACTCAAGTTTTTGACTGTCTGAAGAAGGAAAAGGCGGTCCGGACAACTACTCAAGACAGTACTACTGCTCCTTAAAGTAACTCTTATTATTTTTGTGGTATTTGCTGAACGAATCGGACGTCAAGACGCCATGAAGCTTCTGGAGAACTCTTTCTTTGAGGCCCTGAACTCGGCTTTGTGTGTGGAGATGGGCGATAGCAGGATCTATGGAAGGTAGATAAAAATTTTGACAGAAGCGATTTTTGCTTTGTTCGTTTCTATGTGGGGAGGGGGGCTTGGAAACGTTTTCCCCCCCAAAAAATGCACATCAAAAACCACCTTTCTTGTGAAAATGTGTTTTATATGCAAAGAATATATTGTTTTCCGTTGGATCGGTGGCAAAAACTATGAATATGAGCAAAGATAGCCCTGCTTTGTTTGTATACCAGTCAACGTCCTTGACTTGACCAGTAACCGCCCATGTTTTTGTCACAAGTTGTCTAACCAGTTTGCAAAGGGTAACTCGTACTCGTACAGTATGAACCCCAAATTAATTATAGGAGTCTGGTATGTGTAGTTGTTGGTGTAAAGTCTAGTTCTACGTGTTTCCTGACGCTGTGTGTTGCCTTGTGACGTGCGTTTACTTGGAGATCGGATGACAGAACGTTATTTATAGCACAGCAACACAGGCTATATATTTTCTCCACCACTAGTTAATGTCAGCGAACTTTAGTTGTAAATGTTGGTTGAAGATGTGGATTTGTGATCACATTGTGAAGAGAGTCGTTGAACAGTGGGGTCGTGTGGCATAACGGCAGATTTCGGCTCAAACCAAGGGGTCCCGGGTTTGAATCCAGCCATGTCACCAACCTTGTGCCCTTGGGAAAGGCACTTTACATGACTTTCCTCACTTCGCTCTGGTGAAAATGAGTATGACGGTCAGGATGATCATTATCATGATCGTGGGCATTAAACGTAGAACAAAGAAAGAAAGAACAGACTAGACAGGGAAGGAACAAGGCTTACACACTGTGATGTCATTGTTCCCATGTAAATCCCTAACAAAAGAGGAGGCTCGGGTTTCCATTTGCATCAACTGCCTGCATACCTGGTCAGGTGGACAGATGGGAACACTCGGGTTATCCATATTTAATCAGGAATGATGTAAATTTTCCACAGATATTGATGTTTCAGAGACGGGACCATGATAACCAGTAATTTGTAAAGAAGGTAGACTAGTACTGACTAGACTATAACAATGTCAGACTCAGACGCCAGGTTTTTGCTCCAGTTATGCTGTAGAATGTTGTCTCCATGAGAGGATTAAGTACACGGTTAGACACACACACAGTAAAGCCTGTCCAGTGTACTGATACAGACTACCGTAGTTCTGATCAAGAATCATGCTAGTAAAAATGATGCTACACTGGTTACACCTAGATCACAGGGTTTGCGCTAACACTAACAGGTTTTAATCCCTGTACGAGTGTAGCTCTAGCACTACTGGTATTAAAAAAGTTGCAGTACATTTCTGAAGGAGTACCCGAAAGTGTACAAGTCTTGCATGGCCTTTCCTGACATAGTTCTGTTCCCTTTCCTTTCATCATCCCAGACTGGAGAGCTACTCCTGCAAGATGGCAGGTAACGACAAGCGTCTGTTCAAGATGTTGAGCCAGGAGGGAGGAGGTGGGCCCAACGAGCTTCAGGCCCTCTCCCCGCCGCAGACCATGTCGGTCAGCCCGAGTCGCGCCGCGTCGTACAGCAGAAGCACCAGCGACGAGGGGGAGGGCCCGCTCTGCGACACCTGCAGCAGGAAAACCATCTTCTACCTGATCGGGACGCTCAACACGTCATTTGCACCTGACTACGATTTCAGGTGAGGGAAGGAATGTAGTAGAATCATTCATTATTCTCAAGGCTGAACATGCAGGGAACATGCAGGGAAACATATTAGGCACATAACAGTAGAATACAATACAGCAGGAAAACCATCTTCTACCTGATCGGGACCCTCAACACCTCATTCACACCTGACTACGATTTCAGGTGAATAAGTAGATTGATTGACTAAGAAAGAAATGTATTACACCATAGATCAGAATTGAATTATGTAGTTTAATGTTTTCTAGCACACACATATCATCTGCCAATCTATAGATAGATACAGTATTACAAAAAACACTTTAACAGTAATGTTGTCGTTCTGTCCCCACAGTGATGCTAAGAGTCATGAGTTCAGCCGTGAGCCCAGCCTGCAGTGGGTGACGACCACCATCGACACGCAGCTGTCCATGGGGCTGGGGGAGAAGTACACAGTCCTGCGCCCTCAGCTCTGGGCTACCATCGACAAGGAGATCACACTCGCAGACTGTGACATTTACAGGTAGGTACAACAACTATAATATGATATAAGAAACAGGAGTCTCCCCAGAAATTTTTAGGGGAGAGGTGCTCCCTAATCGGTTGATGTAGCGAAAAAAGAAAATCCGCAAATTTTCATGAAAATACTAAGAAAAAACCCTAAATTTGAACATTTTGGGAGAGAAGCTAGAATTTTGGGGAGAGGGGGAGCACCCTTGCTTCATTGCTTGGGGAGAGCCCTGGTATAAGAAAATATATTAAACTTTAGTTGGGGAGGGAATTGGGAAGGAAAGGCTAGGGGCTGGGGGAGAAGTACACAGTCCTGCGCCCGCAGCTCTGGGCTACCATCGACAAGGAGATCACACTCGCAGACTGTGACATATACAGGTAGGTACAACAACTATAATATGATATAAGAAACAGGAGTCTCCCCAGAAATTTTTAGGGGAGAGGTGCTCCCTAATCGGTTGATGTAGCGAAAAAAGAAAATCCGCAAATTTTCATGAAAATACTAAGAAAAAACCCTAAATTTGAACATTTTGGGAGAGAAGCTAGAATTTTGGGGAGAGGGGGAGCACCCTTGCTTCATTGCTTGGGGAGAGCCCTGGTATAAGAAAATATATTAAACTTTAGTTGGGGAGGGAATTGGGAAGGAAAGGCTAGGGGCTGGGGGAGAAGTACACAGTCCTGCGCCCGCAGCTCTGGGCTACCATCGACAAGGAGATCACACTCGCAGACTGTGACATATACAGGTAAACTCAAGAATTTCAAGGGGTCAAGATTGGTAGATTAAAAGATGTATGAGGCATATGGCACCACATGGTCTCTTTTAGGATTTCACTTACACAGATTGTGACATCAGGTAGTTTTTTTTACATATACAGGTAGACATAAAAACTAAGAAGTGTCAAATTTGCTAGATTAGGAAAGGTTTAACAACTTACTCTCTTTTGTTTTTGCTAACTCCCCAATGAGTCATAGTCTGTTATGTAGTATTTTACTTACTGAGACTGTGATATTTCAGGGGTCTCCCCAGGAATTTTTAGGGGAGTGGTGCTGGAAATTTTTTGGAGGGCACGTAGTGCCCGACGCCGTGCGAAGCGCGGCTG